CATCTATTTGCATGCCTAATTTCAGCCCGATCCGTCCAGTGGTTTGGGCTGTGCGTTGATAGATCACTATGTCAGTCAGTCACCTTTGAGTTTTATATATATAGATTATAAATTCAACTTTATAAATAGGTACGCCTGGTTAACGATTTCAAATATATTAGCTTTGTTTTTTTATATCTCTGTAGCATAATAATTATACAAACGCGTAAATTTTTATACTATACTTAGCTTCTGCCAGCGACTTCATTCTCATTAGCTTAAGTTTCGCGCAACTTATAATTAACCGTGAGAGCCTTCAACAAAATATAAGAAAACTTAAAAAAAAAATTGTGTGCGTCAGCTCCGACGCACGACCGGAGTTTACACTCTAAAAACGATTGTTTTTGAACAGACACAAAACAAAATCAAGTCCAAAGAAGTCGGTTACGAGTAGAGATACCTCAGGAATCGTCCCATGGTTTCGACTATCATAGGTTCCATGTCACACATTTTATCATCTAACATCATCGATATTCATCATATATTTTATTACGTATTTCTGGAAACACACAATTTCAAAAATATCACACACTAGTCATCATTTTGTAAATATGCATTATAATTCCATCTGTACTGAAATTCACTATTTCAGAGTGCTGGACACTTACCGGCATTTCTCTATATTCTGTTATTTATTTGTTTTCATTAATTTTGCTCCGATTTTATCTATTTTTAGTTTATTTATTTTATTGACATTTGTGACAACTTAATGTTTTTTATCCGTTGCCATGGCTAAAATTGAAAGGTGCGCAGATGAGGTTGCGCACAAAAACGTAACGAGGTCATTTGTTCAGTAGATTTTACTCTTCACATTTTCCTCATACCGGGCCCCATATATATGCAAATCGATTCTTAAGGAGTAAACTCCAAAAAAACACGTTCTCAAGTTAAAGGGTGACCAAAGGAAATAGGGAATAATGATTGTAGCCTAGTGATCTCTTTGTGAGACGTGTGAAGCAGTGAACGTGATGACGAATCCTTGTATTCATATGGCAGAAAGAATCAAAATAAGTAATATTTTAAAATGTAGTCACATTAAAATTGCCGAGTTGCGATTTCGTAGTGAGCATTCAAACATTACGACACTCGTAGCGGGATAAGGCGACAATGAATGGGACACGTAGCGGAGCGTTAAGCGATAAAATAGCCCCCCGCCGGGCGATATCATCAAAATATTGCATCACTTCGCGAAATATTGTAAACGTCAATCAAAGAATTAAGTGGCTATTGTGGAGCACGCGGCGCGAGCGTGCCGAGCGCGTGACGCGTTAGCCCTCTATTGTTTTGATTTTCGCGCATGACGGAATCGCGGCGTCACTTTTTGTTCCATCTTCGCCGCGTCTACCCACGCTTTGGTAAGAATTGTTCTGTGTGATCGCTTTACGGTATTACAGCCGGATGCGGTTATACCTGATAGTGTTAGTGGTTTTGAGGCGATTTGACACTACTTTTTATGTAAAAGTTGTGAAACTTTATAAGCTAACTAGTGGCCCGCCCTCGCTTCGCTTCGGTGTAGAGCTGAAGTGTAGACTACAGTTTTTATTCTCAGGCTTGTATTATACACAATGACATTCATCTATGATTCTCCTTATACCTGCATGCAAAGTCTCAGCCCGATCAGTTTAAAATTGACAAAGTTTCATACAAACTTTCATTTCCTATTTTATCCCCTTGGGGGTAGAATTGATCAAAATCCTTTCTTGGTGGATGCCTACGTCATAACATCTACCTGCATGCCAAATTTCAGCCCGATCCGTCCAGTGGTTTAGGCTGTGCGTTGATAGGTCACTATGTCAGTCAGTCAGTCATCTTTAAGTTTTATATATATAGATAAATTCATACATAGACAATAAAGTTTTAAAAATCTTCCAATGAAATATCCGAACGCTCAATAAAAGTCTTTCGAAGGTAACTCGACAAAGTAAATAAAATCATAATTTAATTCAATTCATTCATTCGTATGAAACGTCAATAAATAAATAAATCAGAGCATCTATACCATTGACTTGTTTTATTTAAAATTTAGGAACGTTGTATAGTGGTTCAAGAAACCGAGAAGACAAAATCGACACTATTATAACATATTTTTATTTTAAACATGAAACTACTAAATTTTATACCGCCTAACCACTGGGTAGATTGGAATGTTTTTAAGTATTTTTTGAAGTTACATTTCTTTAGGCGCGTTATGAAAAAATGATGAGAGTGAAATTTTAAGATGCGCGCGCATCACTGTAACACAAAAATTAACAGCATGAAGTTGGTCGCTTCATGCTGTTACTTTTGTGTTTGCCGCACATTAAGAAAATCTACCAACAAAATAGAAATAGAATCTCTATTTAGTGGGTGCTAACGATTGCATTGTGAAGGCCTATCAAAAGTATTTATTAATCTGGAACAACGGAACCAAAGCGCGATTCAGGAGACTACAGCGCCATCTCTTGACCATTGGTGTAGTAGAACCAAAAACCACATCTTTATTTTTTGTAATAAAGTAACAGTTATAGGTATTCATATTTATAATATTTATTCACATGTTTCTAGTTTGTATATTCGGAATACGTGTTTGAGTTTCATACAAGTGCAAATCACATATGTTCTAGTAAATTATATTCAGTAGCGATTTTAATTGAATATTTTGATTATTTATTTATTTTTTCAAATTAAAACTGAACTTTATTGACTGTGTCCTTTTCCAGACTTTTTATTAATTTATTGTAATTAATTATTTGCATGCTATTAAAAACTAATTTTAAACGATGCCAAAGAAGGATAACTTCTCACGCGCCTACATATGTAGGTAGTGTGTATTTAGTATGAAGTATAGTCAAATTTAACTGGATATGAAACAACGTGGCCTTAATAATTTACGAGTACAAATAATAAAATAAACACTAGAATAGACAATGGTGTTGGAGGTTTCAGCGCGTTTTCATCGACTGCGGTTGATGGATTTCTATTTCAATTTATTTTCTGCCTGGTCCGCAAAGGATATTGTAATACAAATGTTAAACTTATTGACAGATTAAATAAATAAGAATTAAAATAAAAAATATTTTAAAAAACGGTACTTAATGGTGTCGCTTCTGGCATCATTACCTAAACTTTTTAACTTAAGGAGTAGAGGTGGGGCGTCGACGTATTTTTCGTCGACGAAACTAAACCGTCCACTACCGTCCATCGACTAGTCGATCAACTAGTTGAATTCTTCAACTAGTTGACGTGATAACGGCAAGCGTTGAGGGGTTCATATCGACTACGCGGTGACTGGTCTACGGGCGCGACGCAACGACGACGACGGAGTCTTTATTTAGTATTCACTTTACATTATAGTCATTTAAATGTTTACAAAATAGATTACAAATTAAACTCATAAAATAATCATTCAATTCAAACGAACTTTGCACTAAATTCGCATTCACGTATCCCTTGACCTTGACCTCGCGACACACTAATTTCAAATTTCAATAAACAAAACTGCAACTACTTGAGGTAAACAATTATTATAAACCCGTTCATCCGGCACTGCATCGTTTAGCCAGATCCATCTCACGTACTCTTTCACGCAATATCAGAATACTCTTGCCCTTTCACTCTAACAACTTTAGTTTAAAAAACGAACAAATATCAACTTCGACGCCATAATATGCTTAAGTTTCAAATTGCTTTATTTCAACGAATGAACGAACGTATGGACTTGTTGTGGACTCTCCGTTTAGCCGTCTATGAATTCAACTAGTTAACGAATAAACTGTAGACCGTCGAAGCGTCGATTGAACGTAGACCGTCTATTTAAACCGTTCGTTAATTCAACGCCCATCGCCAAAAAGGAGAGACTTATATTAAATTTAGTTATCCACTATATATTAATCTTATCCACTATCGATATGTGGTTCTTTTCAGTACCCCTAGCACGAACCATTATCGAATTCGAATAGTTTGCAAACCGAAATGTCAATGTCAAATTTTGTATGGAAACTTGAACAGCGGCACAAAGTACGTAACGAGAACTAAAAATCAGTACACATTTGACAATGACATTTCGGACTCGAAAACGATACGAATTCGATATTGGTTCGTGCTAGGGGTACAGATTGTAAAAACTATTTAATATAAACAAATCTTTTTGTGCCTTTTATACTATAGTTAGACTTATACTGTCTTTGACTTTTATGTAGAAATTATTTGGCTCTACAAACTTTTTGACGTGACAACGTCTTAAATTAGGTTGCGGCTGGGAGTCACTTATGAAAAAGTGTAACGCTCGGTAACGTTACGATGAGTCTCTCGTGTTAAGTTTAAGTTTACATGTACAATGTTTTAGTAAACAAAATATATTTCTATAGTTAAAATTTGTGCAATTCTTATTTTCATTCAATTCCTTGTTCCTATTGTGCAATTTAATTATATTCATATCAATAAATATTCTACCGAGAAAAAGACGTTGTCACGTAAAATCTTCGCCCGTAAAACCGACTTTACAGGCAACCATTTTTTACTCTAAAGTACTTACTACTAAAGTATAGTAAAAATCGTTGAAAAGTTCAAAACCGTACAACTTGTTTCTTAGACAAATTTTGATGATAACATCTCTGTATCGTACAGTTCAAATAAACAAAACGAATAGGTTAAGTGGGTTTGTGAATAAATTCGGTTAATAAAATGTTAGCTTCGTTACAATAAACTAATATCTCTTATCTATTAGACAAGTCCGTCTGTCTGTGGTGCTGTTTCAGCGGCCAAACCGTAAGAGATAGATAAAGAGAATATTTAAGTTATAAGTTAACCGGATTTGAGTAACGTAGCACTTGCGGTTTTCGAGAAATCACGAATTTCAAACGAAACCACACAAAATCTCCGAAGTTCTCAATTAATTAAATACATTTTTTTTAAATCAGGTTTTGGTGAACATTTGGTTCACTGGTTTGCTAGTAAATTGATAAGTATCAATTGGTACTTACCCTGTGAACCCTGTGACGTGGCGTGTGAAGACCATGTGCTTTTGTATGAGGCATCTGTGGACAAAGGTTTTTATCAATAACCTTGGAAACAATATATTTATTAGACACTACGGAATTCTTGAATTATCTTTTATCTATTAGACAAGTCCGTCCGTCCGTCCGTCCGTCCGTGGTGCTGTTTCAGCGGCCAAACCGTAAGAGATAGATATAGAGAATGTTTAAGTTATAAGTTAAGAATAGTCTGATAAGACTACAAACCGGATGTGAGTAACGTAGCACTTCCGGTTTTCGAGAAATCACGTGATTTCTATTTGAAACGAAATCACAGAAAATCTCCGAAGTTCTCAATTAATTAAATACCATTTTTTTTGTTGAACATTTGGTTCACTGGTTTGCTAGTAATAGCTAATATAAAAATAATAGTAATTTTGGTGGATGAGATTTTGAGTGACATATACTGATTTTAATTATATTTTTGATTCAAATTTTAATATGACCTGATTTTAATAGAATTTTTATATTTTTGACTATTTATTTTGTGACCTGTTAAGTAATTTTTATTAAATTATGCGTCATAGTATTAATTAATTTGAAAAAAGCTTATGTAAATTTGCATGCTACGGTCTATAGCTGAATAGGTGAAACCTACAGTATAGTTATGTGTAACTTATTTATGACCTTGATTACCCTGTTCAAACGCAAATAAATAATTATTCTATTCTATTCACTTGATGGCATCAAACAAGTCTACAAATGGTGGACTTAATGGACTTATAACCTACTAGCTGTGCCCTGCGGTGTTACCCGCAGTTTATAAGGGATATTTTCTCGAAGTAAAACGTAGCCTATGTGTTAATCCATGGTGTTAGCTAACTCCACACCAAATTTTATTAAAATCGCTTCAGCCGTTTAGACGTGAAGAAGTAACAAACATACACACTCACATACTCACACACTCACAAACTTTCGCCTTTATAATATTAGTGTGGTAATGCTATTAGGAATTCTCTAACAGCCTAGAATTGATGCAATTCTACGGCTTAGTAAATTGTAGATCTTGGGACGGTGTGGTGAAAATAAGTAAATTGTTAAAATACTCTTATTATAGTATTATACCTGTAAAAAAATTAATATACTACGTATAATACATATTTATATTAGTACATAAACTACATAAACCATAATATATACTTACCTGAGAAAACATATACTATTCGTTTCTATTTGTATAGTAATAAACTTAATATTACAACGCGCTTACAAACAAAAGACGTATTTAATTGGTAAGGTTGGTTTAGTACTTTAGTTGAACTAAGAGAAGAAAAAGTAATAATTAAGTTTTGCTCCAGATGGCAATATCCAGACTTTGATCATGCTTGGATCCAAAACAAACACATAAATTTTGCAATACGATTGCGATTGACAGATACATGATAAGACAAAAAAAAAATATATTTTAAAATAGTTTGTTACACAATATTTCGCGAAACGATTTCTACAACAACTTTTGACGTGACAACGTCTTAAATTAGGTTGCGGCTGGGAGTCACTTATGAAAAAGTGTAACGCTCGGTAACGTTACGATGAGTCTCTCGTGTTAAGTTTAAGTTTACATGTACAATGTTTTAGTAAACAAAATATATTTCTATAGTTAAAATTTGTGCAATTCTTATTTTCATTCAATTCCTTGTTCCTATTGTGCAATTTAATTATATTCATATCAATAAATATTCTACCGAGAAAAAGACGTTGTCACGTAAAATCTTCGCCCGTAAAACCGACTTTACAGGCAACCATTTTTTTTGATATGTATGTTGGTATGTCTTGACTTTAATTGTTTAATCATTATTATAAAATAAATACGACGGATTGCACTCCGGGAGTGCCGGCAGAAGTGAAAACTTGAATATTAACGCTGTGCATTTTTGATATTTTGGAATGGTTAGGGAATAATTTTGCACGAATTGCTTTAATTATCAATATAAAAGTTCTATCATGTATGTGGTAGAATACAATATTTATTTATTGCGCTACCGTACACAAACATGACAATTTATATTACACTAGTGGCCCGCCCTCGCTTCGCTTCGGTGTAGAGCTGAAACTATAGTTATTGTTCTCAGGCCTGTATTATACACAATGGCATTCTTCTTATACCTACCGCCGCCGCGACCGATGTCGAGCGCGGCAACCGTTACACAAAAATAATCCTTATAGCATGATTCAGTATTTACGTGCGACGGCGCGATGGCTTATTTCATGTATAAGTTTGGTGTTTCTATACCGATTTCTATGATTCTTTTTTTATTGAATAGGTAATAATGTTAACTTTTTTAAATTAGGGATGAGTGAGAGTATTATAAACGTAAGAGTAAACAAATATAATCAGAATGCTCCGAACTGCTAATCTATGAGGAGTTACACGTGTTATTATGAGTCAACCATAAAAGATAGACATATGCTGTTCCGGGATATTTTTTAGATAATTTTATGTAGAATATTTCCGTCATACATGATTTCTATGTAACTTTAACCATTAAGGCTGCACACGCAACGGAAGCTAAAAAAATGGAGCAACTTCTCCCGTTTTCCCAACATTTCCCTTCACTACTCTGCTCCTATTGACTGTAGCGTGATGAAAAGTATACTATAACCTGCCCAGGAGTATGAAGAATAATTGTACCAAGTTTTTGTTTCTATAAGGAACATACACACAGATAGACAGACAGACAGACAGACAGACAGACAAAAATTTTACTGATTGCATTTTTGGCATCAGTATCGATCACTAATCACCCCCTGATAGTTATTTTGAAAATATATTTCATGTACAGAATTGACCTCTCTACAGATTTATTATAAGTATAGATTAAAGAAGTTTATCTCTCAGAAATATCAACTTACATGAATCACGTTTAAGCGCACTTAGCGACATCTATTGTAAAGAAATCAACTTACATGAATCACATTTAAGTGCACCTATTGTAAAAAAAATGCATTTTTCTTCGCAATAAAGCGGCCACGTGGACGTCCTAGATAGAGACTTATTATTATGATACGGTAAAATATAATATGACTATGTTTCGTCCAATATATTGAATGTCAACAACCTTTCCAATTTTATTGTGTGTGTGAAAAACCTTTATAAAACAAAGACTGCATTCAAACCTTGTTTTTGTAATCACATTCCTAATACTAACTTGATGATATTTTTTATTGTGTTGAATATGAGGTTAATGGATAATGCACGTTGCAATGACCGACCACTGCGAAAGTTGCTTAACTTCAACGATCGCAGCCGAACGCTCCTCAAAAAAATATCCTTATCGTGACTTAAATGTACTTATTGATAATAAATAAATATTTTCAACACACACAACAATTAGCCTAGCCCCAAAGTAAGCACTATAAGGCTTGTGTTATGGGATACTAGGGTAACGGATAGAATACATATACTGTACATATATATGTATATTTATATAGAAATACATATTAAACATCCATGACTGGAGTACAAATGCACGTATTCATCACACAAACATCTGCCCCCACCGGGATTCGAACCCGGGACCTCTCGAGTCAGCGACACCATGAAACCCGGCGTACAAACCACTCGTCCACGGAGGTCGTTGTTGCCTAATGACACCGAAGTACTTTAATAAGAAGAAAGCCACGCAAGGAGATTTTATTTATTATTTTCCAGTGGGCATACGAGCAGATAGCTCACCTGATGGTAAATGATCAACAAGTTACGATCAAGAATTATTTTGGTCTTATATCTATACCTATTCGATTTGATTTTAAAAATTTTACTCTTATGTTTTTTAAAACCGGTTTTTACTCCGGTTTCCATTTTCAACTCCGGATTTGAAAAAAATGCTCAACTCCGTAAATCCAGAGTTACGGAACTCTGTAAATCCAGATTGAAAGCTTTAGTCAGACTGGACCTCAGACAATCCAGCAATTTAGCCTATTACCACAAAAAAGTTATGGCGCAATTACATTTGGCCGTTAGCCCGTATTAGGGTGCACGAAAGACATTACTCGAATTCGGGGACCCGAAGCATTTTTGAAGTTATACTTCTTTAGCCGCGTTATGAAAAAATTATGAGAGTGAAATTTTAAGATGCGCGCGCATCACTGTAACACAAAAGTAACATAATGAAATTAGCCGCGGGCGCGTTATGAAAAAATGATGAGAGTGAAATTTTAAGATGCGCGCGCAACACTGTAACAGAAAAGTAACACCATGAAGTCGGCCGCTAAACCGCACATTACTCGTAAGTCTCGAAAAAAAGCTTCCAACAAAATAGTAATAGGATCTCTTAGTCGCACATGTTGGGACGCTCGTCGCCTTTATAATATTTATCCACATGTTTCTAGTTTCTATATTCTTAACACGTGTTATAATGTTATACAAACGCGAAATTTATATGTGCTAATAAATTTTTTTCAGTAGTGATTTAAATTGAATATTTTGATTATTTATTAAATTTTTCAAATTAAAACTGAACTTTATTGACTGCGTTGACTATCCTTTTCCAATCCTTTTATTATCTTATTGCAAATAATTATCTGCATGCAATTAAAAACTATTTTTTAATAATTCCAAAAAGAAGTATAACTTCTCACGCGCGTACTTAAGTACACGCACCCATATTTTTTTTTTTAATTTTTATATTATGGTTAGCAAATGACTCTACCCCACCTGATGTTAAGTGGTAATAAAGTCCAAACGCGAAGATAGCTGGTATATATACCTATACTGGAATACGGTCTGGAAGATGGTGTCGGGTAACCAAAATGAAGACTACCCGAATATGGGTATACTCAACTCCGTTCATTTACACTTATTCGTAAACCTTTGTTTTTTATAACGCAGGTAAAAAATCATTTTACAGACGACGGCGCCATTAAGAGGCACACCGCCGAACGGACCTCACACCTGGAGCTTTACTCTGTTTCTACGAAACGAAATTTCGGTAACGAACGAATTTTAAACGAAATTTCGCCATTGACTTTACTCTATTTCATTTTCGAACAGGCACATTAAC